CATTGCCCCCAGCCGCCAGCACAAGCGTGCCGCCTGGCCGCAAGCCGATACTTCCTGCGACGCTCTGGCGCAAGTCTTCCACGGTCATGTTGTCTTCAAGAGGAAGCTGCACTTCGGAACCGTCGAGACCAGAGACCGTCAACTGTCGGCCGACAGTACTGCTATCAACCTCGTCAAGGCGCTGGCGGAGGACCCTCCCTTCTCCTTGAGGCAATCTTGCCCGATATCCTTGCGCGAGGTCGGCCATGGGACCTTGTGCCTTCGGCTTGGGTGACCCTGCGGACGAAGTAGCACCTACAACCTTTCTGGTGAACATACCTCGTTTTGGTCGCCTAAGACATTGCATGAACATCCACAACTATGGGGCTCATGTCGCTAAGGCCTCAATTTCTGACCGTCTGATGGCCGAAGGTCGTGCAAGAAGCTGGGCAGGGTTGACTTCTCCAAGCTCTGATTGAACCGAGTGCCACACTTCACAGTCCCGGGCATCCTCGACCCCGAAGCCCTGAACTAAACCCTCAACCCCTATGCCAGCCCTAAATTCCCGAAACCCAAGATCCCACACTGATCCGACACTGTATGCCTTCTACGTGACCCCAACGAAATCATAACGCCCCGCTGTGAACACAACAACTAGAGCCCTCAAACCCTAATCTCTGAAGCCCAGACCCTGAATTTATAGGGTTCTTACGCTTCCGAGGGGGTATGTAACCCAACGTTCTCTAATACTCCCCAATAGTCCCGAAGCTTCCCTAAGGTTCCCTAGGTTTCTTGATCGCCCAGTAACCACATTATAATAAGATAGCAAAGTGAGAGATTGCGCTATCATGTCGCTTCTGGAGTGTGGAGATCTGTCGCGGGTGGGGTTTCTAGGTGTTTTGGGCTTCAAAGGGCCTTGCTTGTTTTGCCTACCATGGACACACCATTTCAGCAGGATTTAGGGCTTAGGGCTTTGGGCTTAGGGTTTGGGTTTAGGGGCCGAAAGATTCACCCTGAACTCGTATGTATGCCTAGCAGCCGCAGACGCAGCTCTGAAAGAGTGTCGCCGGCTCAGCGCGGTGCAGGGAATTCGAGTTTAGGCTTTTCTTGGAGGTTCATGGTACTCATAACTTTACTTATAACCCACTTATAAGCTCCTTAAGTGCCCTAATATGGTTATAAGTACAGTTATAAGTAACAGTTATAATTGGTGAGTAAGTACCATGCACCTCCAAGAAGGGCTTTTTGGGGTCAAAGGTTTAGGGTTTTGGGGTTTAAGAATCAGGAATAATCAGGATATAGAGTTTATGGTTTCGGGTTTCAGGCTTGTAGGTTTTCAAGCTTGGGGCTGGAGGGTGCAGGGAGTGAAGGTGCTGGACTTGAGCGATTGAGGCATGAGGGTTTAGGGTTTAGGGTTTAGGGTTTAGGCTTGAGGGTGTGAACTCTTGTAGAACATAGAGCGGCGCGGATGTATTGTCCGTAAACCTCTACTTGGAGGTTCATGGTACTTTTGACCCAGTTATAACTGTACTTGGAACCCACTTATAAGCCCCTTAAGAACACTAACACAGATGAAATTCGTCAACAAGCACGCAAACCCGGTTACCCTGCACAGCACCCTGCAGGAAGGGCCACGCGCGATAGTGGCATTAGGCGTGTGTGGAACATTCGACCTCTCCAAGAACCTAAGAAACACCCTAACCTTGTATTGGTTGGCGGTCTCTTTAAGTAGGGTTTCTGTTTTGTAGGGGGGTTCTCATTAGGGTATCTGGGGACAGATAAAGAGGCCACCGGCCTTCATAACCTTAACTGGATAGCCCAGGAACCAGATTACAACAAGGGCATTTTTTTTTTTTTTTTTGGGGGGGGGGGGGGGTGGTTACTTTCTAAGGGAACCTTGAACCACAAAATGGGGAAAGGGCACCACTGGGCTACAAATCCTAAGCCCTAAACCCGGGGTAAGGGTACCACTGGGCTATCAATCCTAAGCCCTAAACCCTAAACCCTACCACTGGGCTATAGATCCTAAACTCGAACTCTCCACGCGAATAATACCCCTTAAAAGCCATCATGAGAGCCCAGCGGTGCCCCAGACGATACCCCAAACCCCAAACCCTAAACCCCAAGCTGCTACCCCTAAGCCCTAAACCCTAAACCCTAAACCCTAAACCCTAAACCCTAAACCCTAAACCCTGAACCCTAAACCCTAAACCTAAACCCTAAACCCTAAGCCCTAAACCCTGCTTAAAGGTATCCGAAGTATGGGCCCCTAATATGTATTAGTGTATATACGGGATATATAACAGGGGACCCAAATTGAGGGCCCATAGTTCGGATCCCCTCGTTTTAGGGTTTAGGGTTTAGGGTTTAGGGTTTAGGGTTTAGGGGCCTTTTCTTTCTTCGTGGGCGGGGGGGGGGGGGGGGGGAGGTTCCTAGATGGGCCATCAAGGTGCTACTCTGAAGGCCAGGGGTTTAGGGTTTAGGGTTTAGGGTTTAGGGTTTAGGGTTTAGGGTTTAGGAGGTTGGGGGTTCTACCAAGTCACAGGACGCTTTAAGAGACGGTCCTCGGACTGTCAAAGTAGAAGAGAGCCCATGCGTCGGTGTGGCTCAGGAAACGCATGGTCAGGTCTCTGAATGGTGGTCCCTGCCATCGTAGGGTTTAGGGTTTAGGGTTTAGGGTTTAGGGTTTAGGGTTTAGGGTTTAGGGTTTAGGGTTTAGGGTTTCGGGTTTCGGGTGTACCAGGGCACCCTAAAAAGAGAGCAAACATGAGAAAACTGACGGCACGGGGGATGTTGGGCAACGGCGCCCGAACCCTCAAGCTTAACTAGGCTTTGGAGTAGACCCTGAAAAAAAAGTATATACTTTTTAGGTATAAGTAGCTATAATAGGAACCCAGAACCAAAAAAAGTATTAAAGTATAGTACTCCAAGACCTAGCTCAAGCTTAAATGGGCGGGACTGATTTCCTCGCAGCAGCCATTGTCCGCTTCATGTGTGTGGGCGTTCACCAGTCGTTGCCGACCTGTCAGCTCAATGCGCAGAAGGGCTCTGGCTGCCACCAAGCCAGAATCTTATGGGTTGCGGGGGTAAAGTAGACCTGCGGGTGGGGGGGGGGGGGTTTCGAAAATAGGCGTAGTTGCTTGCTTTAAGCATTCCTATAACAAGGGTTATAGTGCTTTGGGGTATATTAGGGGTACCCCTGTTCGGGAAATGCCCGTATGTCGCCCGTATGTCGTGTATCTGCAGGACTCTTAAGTGAAACCCTGCGCTCACAAGACATCAGGCTCATCGAGCGCGCAGCATGCAACTCTTCCATAGACAGAAGGTCCTTCACAAAGGCTTCGAGTGTACCTTGTCTCCCCGAAGTACCCTTCAAGCCAACAAAATTCACCCACTCCCCCACCACCACCCCCCCCCCCCCCAAAAAAAAAAAAAAAAACTCCGGATGGGACACTGAGGTGGGGTCAGGGCCTAAAGGAGTGTATGCTGGGCTTGGGGCCAGCGCAGGCTTCAGTCATGCATGCTGAGTTTACCCTCACCCTCAACTGGCTCCCGCTGACTGTTGTGATGACGTAGTGATGGGATACCGAGGTAGGGTCCACGGCCTAAACGATTGCATTCTGGGTTTGGCGGATGCTTCATTTGACCACGCATGCTGAGTATACCCCAAACCCTAAACCCTAAACCCTAAAACCCTATACGCCTGTCGGACCTATTAGCTTGAAAAGCCGGGCTGTTTCTGGTCGGCGCGGCTCAGCACAACAGGGTCGTGCTTCCAAAAACTAACTGGGTTTAGGGTTTAGGGTTTAGGATTTATAGGGTTTAAAATGTAAGCATTCTAGTAGTACATCAGGGAATTAGGTACACAATATCACCCCCCACGATATACCCACGTAAAAATTATAAGTCACCCTATAGCTCCCGAGTTCCCCAGTAAGAGAGAGTCAGAGCCGGTGGGAGTACCACTGCCAAACACCAGCTCTTCCACACGACTGGTGGATTTCCCAAAATGAGACGGGTCCTTGTGGGGTTTAGGGTTTAGGTGGGTAGAAGATGCCCCGAACTGCGATCATCTTTAGGCTCGAAACCCCAAAAAAGGGCCCTGAGTTTTTGGGAAAACCTGAAATATTGAGGCATCCTACAGCTCGACACGGCACTTTCTTGCCATGACGGTCTTCCTCACGGGGACAGTGCTGCACTCGTTCGTCTCATACTTCTCCTCATAGGGCTCCTGCTCCGTGTACGGTATCTCGTAGGGCTCCTCGACGCTTTTGTTCTCGAGGTAGTCCTCCTCCACTTCGACCTGCCTTGGCTGGTTGGTTCTGGGTTCAAGCTCTGCAAGAACATGCTCGAATCGGATCCTCCTAAAGGCTCTGAATTCAACAGGCTCTCTGCAAAATATGTCCTAATCGAATCCTCCTCAACCCAACAATAGGGGAGAACAAATAAAAACAAGTCCCACAGTCGAGCTAGCTGCCCCTCCTTCCACTGGGGCGGCTGCTGGTCACAGAGCTCCTGAGCCCGGCGACTCTGTCGCGCCCACAAATCCTCCAAGGCGGAAATGGGAACGCTGCCTTGGCGCATGAACCATATTATAACAAGGGCACCTTGTTTGGGGTTGGTTACTTTGGGACGTTCCCCCTGCTATCAACAGTCCCTAGTAGGGATTGTGGGGGGGGGTACTAGAATCCCTATTAAGGACTGTTCATCCAAGGAGGAACATCCCGATGGTTCCTTTCTAAGGGAACTTTGAACCCTAAACCCTAAACCCTAAACCCTAAACCCTAAGCCCCAAACCCTATAACAGGGTACCACTGGACTACCAAGCTGCGAACACGAGCCAGGGATGCGCGCAAGTCCTCCAAGCACTGCGCGTCCAAGTCCTCGGCGGGGATCGTGGTTGGGTATCCTACAAAGGATGAGACAGTGTCATACAAGAGTCATAAATATTTAGGGTTTAGGGTTTATGGGCTAGGGTTTAGGGTTAATATTTAGGGCTCTTGTGATGAACAGCAGTGTTGTCAATGAACGTGGCTTCCCAAGAGCCGCCGAGAGGCGGGGCCATTCCAGAAAACGAGCTCTTCCAGGCCCTGTTCTTGCATGACATCGCGAAGCAGCTGATTCCTTTTGCCTCCCCTTGGACGTAGGTTTGCTTTGGATGCAATGATGACAGTTCCATGCCTCACGTTGGTGCCGAAGGACGTGAAGAGGGCAGACAGCGTCTCGCGCAAGTGCATTGCATCGTTGGCCATGCTGTCAAAAACCAGGAACTTCACGCGGCGAACATCGGCTTCGGCCAGGGCGGTCGCCATCCAGAGACCGATCTCCTCTTCAGTGAATAGAAGCCGGGTGTCCCCATTTCCTATACCGAACTTGCCTAGCAAAAAATATTTGACTAGCTATTTCTTAAGGAGTATGGTACCCCGAAATATCCCGAAATATTAAAAAACATTTCCAAGTACCCCTAAGTTTCCCGGATTGTCCAGCACCCAGCCAAGGATCGTCTCCCAAAGCGAAGGCTCATCCGTCATGGACTCACCGCTTCCATCGCCTACCTTCGGGCACGCTGCATCCTTGGCTTTCCTGAGCTGGCAGACGAAAGTGGATTTCCCTCCCTGGCTGGGCCCGTAGAGAACCAAAGCTTCAGTGCCAGCAGAGGTTTCGTTGAATCGGACATCCGCGTTGACACTGCGACTGTTGATTCCACAACGCCGAAGAGATTCCTGGCTTTCCCAGATGATCTGCTGCTTTGCCTCCAGGAGGAATGCTTCCATGGGAAGCAGGTACTCCACCATTTGTGTCCGGTTGACGAGCCGTGTGGCTTTCTCATACCTGGTCACGGTCTTCATTCCCTTGTTGAATTTGGTCACGATCCTCAGTTTTGTCCGTTCCTTGGTGACGGGCCGGCATTGCATCGTGTCCTCAGTCACAGCTTCTGGGACGTCATCGCAGATCGTCTGTGTCCTCCTCCTCCGCCTCCTGCCCCGTCCGGCCACCACAGGGCCGATCAGCACAAGCGTGAGCAAGATTTGCAACCTCATCATATCTAAGATTTCAGTGTTTCTGGGAAGTGCTTTGAGCTGCTCGTACTGCGGAAACACGAATGAAGTGTGGTTCGGATACTCGTAACCCTTGAAAAGGACACCAAAATAAGTGTACTTACCAATATTTATCAACCAGGAGACTTAAATACTCACCAAGAACAGTACTGCAAACCCTGTTTCACACGCAGTCAACCCTTAACCCTAAACCCCAAAAGAAACAGTACCCAAGAGTGACGCAAAAGCTTGCCAGAGCACAGCTGTGCAGGACTTCAGGTTCGCGCAGTCGGACTTAGGGCCACTTGTGGGTCTGTATCGACGGAAAACTTACATGTTTAGGTCTTAGGGTTTAGGAGAGCTACATGGGTGCCTTATTGGGACCGCTGATATGCCCCTTGTAACCCATAAAAACCAAACCCCCATACTTCAGAATCCTTTAAAGAAGGTCAGTCCTCAGACGTCGGGGCTCAGGGACCCAGGCTTCAGGCTACTTCAGGTTTACAGGGATGAAGACTCTACTACTTGAGGCTAAGCCCTAAACCCTAAACCCTTAAACCCTTAAACCCTTAAACCCTTAAACCCTTAAACCCTTAAACCCTTAAACCCTTAAACCCTTAAACCCTTACATCCTAAACCCAAAACCCCTAAACCCTTAAACCCTTAAGCCCTAAACCCTGCTTCAGAGACATCGACTCCAAGGCGTCGCAACTGGCACCCCCCCTGGCCTGTACATCAGGACCCGCGCTGGGACCTCGGCTGCGTTCGGGCTTTGTGTTTGGGGCTTGCGGTGTAGGGCTCAACCCTAAGCCCTAAGCCCTAAGCCCTAAACCCTAAACCCTAAACCCAAAACCCAAAACCCAAAACCCTAAACCCCATCCTAAAACCTGGCTGCATCAACCCCTACGCCCTAAGCTTCATCCCAAATTCCGTGTAAAGGTCCTACAACCCTAAATTCCTGACAGCTGTCCGACATCTAGGAGCTAAGTGCCGCGGAAAGTCCTGCACAATGGGAGCTCTGGACGGTTTGTCGAGAACGCACATATTAACCTGAAAGCCCTAATGAAACAAGTCTAGAAGCCAAATGCGAAATGCCTGTAAGCCCTACCTTCTGAACACAAACCCGTGAAAACACCTCAAAGCACGCAACAACATACTAATACTTTTACTAACCGTTACTAACCTACCCCAAGCTTCCAGTCACTACAACCCTCCAGAGAGAAAGGACCAAGTCCCGCTAAAACGCCGATCTGGCTTGGCTTGGGTTGGGCTTTAGGTTCAGGGATGAAGGGTTTTGGGTTTAAGGATATAAACCCTAAAAGTGAAGCTAAAGTGAAGTCCGCGGACCTCGAACTCCTCCTGCTGGAGGGACTGCGCGGAACAGCGGAAGGCGACAAAGACGTCCACCGAAGCCACCTTGGCAGGTTTTGGTGATTAGTGTTTAGGGGTTTGGGTTTAGGGTCTTGGGGGTTTGGGAGATTTTGGGGTTGGAGGGGCTTTAGGGGTTTAGGGGGAGGGAATTAGGTGTTCAGGCTTTGGCAATGTTGTGGTCTAGTCGTTTGTTGCTTTAGGGGTTTATAGGACTTGGGTTTAGGGGCTCTAGGGGTCTTGGAGGTTGAGGTAGTCGGTGCACACGGCCCATGGTGGCCGTGTGCACCAAGAGTAGTTTGTTGCTTTGCGAATTTGGGGTTTAGAGGTTTCAGGGTTTGGGCACTTAGGGATTTTCAGGGTTGACTTTGTAGGGTTTAGGCTCTATGGCTTAGGGCTTTAGGGTTAGAAGCAGATTCTGGTTTGACAATCAGGTTGACCCACCACCTTCACCAACGTTGAATTAAGGCCCACAGGTACCTTGCATTTAAGGTTTAGGGTTTAGGGGTTTAGGGGTTTAGGGGCTTAGGGGTTTAATGTTTAGGGGTTTAGGGTTTTGGGGGTTTCGCAGGCTTGGTTTAGGGTTTGGGGTTTAGGGTTTTAGGGGCTTAGGGTCTTAGGGTTTAGGGATTTAGGGCTTACGGCTTAGGGGTTCGGGATGTGCGGTAGCTACTTGGAGGGTCATGGGTTCATGGGTTCTGATAACCACACTGCATTTGCAACCTACTTAGATCTTTGCGGCTATTAGTACCCCGAACCTCCAAGCAAGGTGTATAGAATTAAGGTCTATAGGGTTTCGGGGTTTCGGGGTTTAGGGAGTCCATGACCTTGCACCGCTCTGCAAGGTGTAGGTCTTAGGAAAATGTACCAAGGATGGCCCCTAAAACCTTCTGACAAAAACATATTCCTATACATGATCCTCTTAAACCCGATAAGAAGGGAACCAATAACATATCCTAGGGGACTACCTAGGTACCTGAGGGTTGTAGCGTTTAGGGTTTATGCCTTAAGAACCCCACAACTCACTTTTTTGTAGGATCTGTATTAAAACCCCCTTTTCGGAATCTCAGGCGTCCTACAAACATGTAGGTTGTGGGGTCTTGAGGTAGGTTTAGGGTTTCGGGGGCAACGGTTTTGCGGCTCGGGCAAGGAGTTCTTGCAAGCATGTCATGGATGTCAGCTTGGAGCACCTTTCAACCATGCCCCCCGCGTTGGATAACCTCAACCCTATACCCTAAACCCTACACCCTAAACCCTACAACCAAAACCTAATACCCTGAACCTGAACCCTAAACCCTCGGCTGCCGTTCGCATGCGAGGGTTCCTAAACCCAGACTCCAAACTCCAAACCCGAACTCCTGCACACCAAGCCAAGCTCCAGAAACCCTAAACTTCACCCTAAGCCCTAAACCCTAAAACCTGAACCCTAAGCCCTGAACCCTGAGCCCTAAGCCCTGAGCCCTAAGCCCAGAACCTTGAACCCTAAGCCCTAAGCCCTAAGTGTTGCGACCAGGGTGCGGAGCCCTCGCCGTCCGTGCGGTGCACGGTGTAGCCTCATAGGGAAGTTTAGGTTTCAGACCCTATAGGGCCTCGGGGAGCCTAGGGCCTAAAGGGAGGGTTTAGGGTTTAGGGTTTAGGGTTTAGGGTTTAGGGTTTAGGGTTTAGGGTTTAGGGTTTAGGGTTTCTGGATCGGAGGCTTCTTGGGGTTTTGGGCTTCAAGGGTGCAACAAGGGTTCAAGGCTGTAGGTTGGGCTAGGGTTGGGCTAGGGCTGCAGGGGCCCAAGGTTCAGCAGGCTGTTTTACGGCTTTGTTCGGGTCTTTCGGGGTTCTGAGTTGCTTTTTGGGTTTAGAGAAAAACCCTGGAGAAAAAAAACTAAAACCTAGGACCAGAACGCTCTCGTGGGGCCCTACAGTTCTTTCCTTGTAGATAACGACCCATCGCCCCCTGAAAAACTCCGGGTTTAGGACCCTGATGCCTCCAAGTAGCCGCTAATTTCAGGTACCCGGAATCAAATTCGTTGAGCTATCCTGAGGCGAAGTACCCAAAACCCAAAACCCAAAACCCTACTCCAGGGCACAAGTCAAAGGGGTACTGGGGACCCCTCAAGCAACTGCACACTGCCAGGTGGCGTGTGTGCGCACGGCCTAAGACCATGCCGCCCGTGATGGCAGCCTCTTTCAGAGGCACCCCTAGAAGGGACCCTTAATCACGGGTTTAGGGTCTAGGGTCTAGGGTCTAGGGTCTAGGGTTTAGGGTGTAGGGTTTAGGGTTTAGGTCCTTAATCCTATTCCCCTATATACCCCCTATAAAAACCTCATATAGCCCGTATACCTAAAGAAGTGTCCCTCCTGTATAGTCCCTTGAATGTCATGCAAGAAGCCCCGGAACAGATGTAAGGTTTTATAGGGTTTAGGGTTGAGGGGCCCGAAAACCGAGCAACACCCTGTTGTCACAGAATGCCTGAACCCTAAGCCCTTCATTTCAGGGCTTAGGAGGTTATCTACGCTTATCTGCGATTCATTATTTGCTTAAGAACCCCCCCCAAAAAAAAACACACACACACACACAAAACAATATATCCTTCCTTACATTGCAAAGATAGGGATTTATGCTCTTTCTTTCGGGGGATTCTTAAGCAAGTAGTAGTTATAGGATCTGGGGGAGAGCCCACGACCCAAATTATCCCTAAACCGTAAAACCCTAAAGTAGGCTATCGGGCACGCAGGTAGTTCGGGCGATCACTTCGACATTCAAGTCTTCTTAAGAAACCCCCAAAACAGCCATGTTCCCCTTATAAGGGAGAGTGCTTTGTGTTTTTGGGTGGTTCCAAAGCAAATAGTAGCCCCAAACCCTAAACCCCAAACCCGAGCAGTTTAAGCAACTAGTAGGAAAGCGGCTGTCCAAAAAAACAGCAGAAACAGCAGGCCCCGTTCAAGCGCCCGTAACTACTATTGGCTTAAGAACCCCAAAAAGTCAAAAGACAATCGTCCCTATATTGCCCTTATTAAGGAATGATATTTTGTTTTGGGGGGCCCCTAAGCAAACAGAAGAGGAGCCCTCAACCCTACAGAGGCGGAAGTCTGAACACGTTCTCTCGACTCTCTGCATCATACACCCTACAAGCCTCAAGCTCTCAAAACTCTAAAACCTTGAATCCTCAACCTGAAGCCCGCAACTCTAATTAAACCCTAAACCCCAAACCCCAAACCCTCAACCCTAACCCCAAAACCTAAACCCTAAACCCTGAAACCCTAACCCCCACAACCCTAAACCCTAAACCCTAAACCCTACAACCCTTCCCAGAGCAATTCGGCGCCTCAAGGGGCCGCGCGGCCGCGCTATCCGGGGACACCACCACCACGTCGGGGCAGTCGTACAGCCTCGAGGGGTTTAGGGTTTAGGGTTTAGGGTTTAGGGTTTAGGGTTTAGGGTTTAGGGTGTAGTGTCTCTATCCTAGGGTCTATCCGGTTTCTATAGGTTTGAAGGCCCTAGGGTCGCTTAGGGTTCAGGACTAAGTCCTGTGCTTGTCTCTTGAGTCTTCAAGAGATAAGCATTTAGGCTGCGGGGCGAGCTGTAGTTAGGGATTAGGGTTTAGGGTTTAGGGATTAGGGTTTAGGGTTTGGGGTTAAGGGTT